TTTTTTTTTTTTTTTACTGTATAGTTTATGAGTAGCTTGGGGGGAAGTGAAGTCCCTAATGCATGAAGGGTTCCCCCATGTTTGTCAGTAGTAGCCATACCATGGTGCTCAGCGCTGTACATGCATATGGTGGGTGGGTGGGGGGTGTGTTGTGTTACTGGGTAGCAGTAAACAGATCTACAATAGACAGGCCTGGCAAACGCACTGCTGAGCTAGAGACGTGAGACACAGAAAGGTATACAATTGAACCCATTTATACAAGGTTCAAAAGCTGGCAAAAATGACTAAACGGCATTAGAAATAGGAATAGCGGTCCCCCTTGGAGAAGGGCTAGGAGCAGGAAGGGGCCCGAGGAGGGCTTTGGGGGTGTCTTGCTTCTCCCCCTGGGTGCTGGTTAGAGGGTGTGTTCAGTGGTAAAATAGCTGCCACTTGTCTGCTTGTATAGTTCAACAGAAGATTTTTAAACACCAGAGTGTTTGCTAATTTAGGATTTACAACAGGATGTTACATTTTGGAGCCAACACTTGTTGTTCAGGTCTCAAAACCTCCTGCTTTAGAAACGTTAGGTCTTGTGGCGAGTCTGGGGGATACAGTAGTTAAAGGCTCAGCTGCTAACCTCAAGGCCAGCAGTTCAAACCCACTTGTTACTGTGCAAGAGAAGTTGTGGCAGCCGACTTCCGTCAAGATTTACAGCCTTACAAACCCTATGGGGCAGTTCTACTCTGTCCTACAGGGTTGCTGTGAGTCAGTCAGAATCAACATAACAGAAGGTTTTGAATGGTGTCTTATACAAGAGCATTAGTGGGTCAGTGGTAAGATCCTTGACTTCCATGCAGGAGATCTGGGTTCCATTCCTGACCAATGCATCTCACGTGTGGGTGCAGGGGCAGTGGGTCATTTAGTGTGGCTCTTCTAGCCGAAGTCTCTTGCTCCCACCAAACCTTTTCCTGCCTGGGTCTGGTAAGGAGCTAGGGGCAGATACAGATATGATGCACCTGTGAGTGATTGTGAACAGGTTTCTCTGGAGTGCCACCCTGCTGTGTATACATGAGCCCTCTGAGAAGCAGGAGGAGGGATCTCATTACCAGCAAGAACCAGGAGTGGAGCATGTCCCCTGTCCCTGAGAGCCCTGCACCGTGAACCTCCTGGGTCCAGTGGGCAGCTGTAACATCAGAGGAGCAGCAGCAGAACCTGGCACAGAGTGCTGGACTTCCCAGCCCACAGGGCTAATCACGTGAAGTGCTTCTGTGCAGGGGGCTGGTTGCAGAGTGGGGAGAAGGGGGGCCTCTGGGTACTTAATTGGGGAAGTTGAGTTTGCTGACCCACGGATGTGGAGCTGAGCGCCTTTGGGGTGCTTCTGGGCCTGTAATTCTGGGCGCTGGGTTTCCTGGTCCATGGAGCTGAACGCCTTCGGGTTAAGGTGTACAGCAGAGTGGTATGCTGGTTGGGCATGTTTTAGCAGACTTGACAAAACTTTGCGACATGTCCTGATAAACCATGCTGAGCACTTCCCACTGGCATTTCAACTTGTCAGCTTCCTTCATAAGCCCTGAATCAGGAGTTCGGTCTGAGAGCTCTCTGTCGCCATCGCCATGGACATTAGAACCCAGAGAAGTGAAAGCGAGAACACTAAGTTAGGACCACAAAGCGGCCAGCACCGGTCTGTCGGTGGGGGCGTGCAAGCCGCTACAACAGGGAACAGTCAGTCTCGACTCCAGGCCGAGGTGGACTAGGAAGACAGGCCTGGTTATTCCTTCCTAACATCAGCTCCCAGAACCCCTGCGGACACAACCGTCCAATCCTCAACCCATCAAGATGAAGCCGAAACAGCGCCCGCCCCTGAGCCCTGGCGGGGCGTGTCTTCAGTACACCTGGGCTGCTCTCACCCCAAGTCCTTCCCCACAGGCACCCTGCCTTTCAGAGAGTGGGGATCCATGGGGGTAGCTCTTCCATTCACTCATGGTGTCACAGTGGGCACACTGTTCCCTTGGAGCTACTGAACTTATCTATAAAATGAGCATCGCTGCGCTAGCTCACAGAGCAGGGGTCGGGGTGGAGGGGCGGGTGGGGGAGGTGACAGCACAGCCTCAGGTCACAGGGGCTGTGAGCAGCCCTACATTCCCGAATAGCACCCCAAAGAATCCACTACTTGAGAGATTCAAAGAAATAACAATTTATTGATTTCCAAAGAAAGCAAATACAGAGTGTATCCCACAGGGCACCTGGGCCGGGCAGTGCCAGGTTCTCACACAAACAGGAAGCCAGGGGTGGGGGGTGGACTGTGGGGAGGCCCCAGGATACTTCAAGGCAACCTCAAAGTGACCTCCACTGCACATCGCATAATTCCAGATGTGGTCACCTGCTGTCCCACCGCTTGGCAAGGCTAGGGGCGGGTGAGCGGAGCATCCCGCTGCCCGCTGCCCTTGGGTTCCTGAGACCACACTGGAAAGGCGGCCGTGGGCCAGTGACTGGATTGGTCTGACACACAGGTCAGGAGTGGCTGGGGCGGGGCGGGGGCAGGCACACGGAATGGCCTGTGTCCCTCCTCCTTTGGCCCCAAAAGGATGGCTTGGTTTGGGTGTCACACCCCGTACTCTGCAAACCAACGTGGCTTAAAATACTGAGACACACCTGGGGTGCAGACAGCCCAGCAAACCCTTTCTCCATAACCCCTCTCAGCTCTGCCAAAGGGACACCCATGGACCATCGGTCGGAGTGACAGGCCTGTTGGCCAACCAGAGAGCAGCCCTTAAAATGAGAGTTGGCTTAGTTGCTCACCTCAGCTGGCTGGAATCTGAAGAGGGCAGGGGCACCTGCCTACTCCCTCTGGATGGGGAGAAGATGGGCTAAATTGCTCACCGTCGGCGTGGTAGTTAGAGGAAGGGGCTCCCACTGGTCACCATGTGCTCAACTTGCCCTGGTGAATTTCCCTCGTGCCCTGATCGCACTCAAACCACAAAACCAAGCTCACTGCCATCAAGTCGATGCCGAGACACACCGGCCCTGTCCGATCGAGTAGAATTGCCTCTGCCGGTTTTCAGGCGGTCACTTTCAGGGAGCAGCAGCCACAGCTTTCTCCCACAGAGGGGCTGGCGGGTTCATACTGCCAACCTTGCAGTGAGCAGCCCAATAGCGCAAAGCCCACGGCACCGCCAGAGTGCCTGGCTGGACTGGGAGACCCTAGAGCCAAGGACCCCTGTCTCCCCTTCCCTTCAGGGGAATGTGACAGGGGCTTGGTCCTTTGGTTCATGGATGCTGGTGCCTGTGAGACTCAATAAATAGTGTTTAAGAAGTGCAAGCTGCTGGGCCTGGGCAACTGGAGGAGGAGCTATGCACACACGGCCCTGGGGAGAGAGGGGTGAGCCGGGAATGGACCCCAACCCTAAGTGAGGACCAAGGGAAGACCTCTGAGCTCCACAGCATGGTGGACACCCGGCGAGGGCAGGGAGACCCCTCAGAACAACAGGGTGGCACATCTGCCCTTGCCCATCCTCAGTCTAGAAGGGGTTTTCCAGTTTGGGTTGCCCGGGTGAGAAGTGGGGGCGAGTGGGTGGGGTGGGTGCACAGAAGGAAAGGGGGCTTGGATGGAAGAGAACCAACCGAGAGGGACATCTTCGGGAGAAGGATGTGGCCACCGCGGCTGTGAGTCCAGCCTGTTCGGACGCGAAGCCCCCCAAAGCACAACAGCAGAACAAAACACTGCCCGGTCCTGCGTCAGCCTCACACAGCCTCTCTGCACCGAGTGTCAGCTCGGCTTGTGCGCGGTGGCTGATGACAACCGAATCCCGCAGTGCTGTCTTGGGAGATGGGGGGCAGAACCAAAGAGAACCCCGGGGCCTCCGAGCCGCTCCACTTTCCAGCACACAGGAAGCTTCTCCACCAGGAGCCCTGCTACTACTTCTCATCTGAAACGCAAGCGTCTGGGGTCTGGGATGTGGCTGGTGCCCTGACAGGCCATTTTACAGCACCCCCTGAGCTCCCCCACAGACAAGAGGAGGCATGGAGGCGGGGGCTCAGGGGAGGTGGAGCAGCCTCTGGCCGGGGCCCTGGCACCCTGCACTCTCTGACATTCCCCCGACTTCCCTTCCTCCACGGCTCCCAGGACCCAAACCCTCCCTCGTTTGGGTCTCAGCAGGCATGCTGGTGGATGGGAGGTTATCCTCACCACCCATCATTTTCAAATACAGTCCTGGTCCATGGGCAGGGGGTAGGCTGGTGCTCTGCACCCTCTGCTCCCATCTCCTCTGCCAAGGTGGATCCAGCCTGCACTTGCCCAAAGCACTTTCTCCTGCAGCAGGTAGATGACAAGCCCCCCTGAAGGCAGGGGCTCTGTGGATGGCGCCTGCCCAGAAGACCCCTCTCTCTGGCTTCCACTCCCCCAGGACAGACCTCAAACAGCAAACTAGAGGAACTGTCCTCCATCTTCAGACTTGTTCTGGTGGTCCTCTGGGAAGGGTGGCCTTACCGGACACCCTTGGTTGTCCCATGAGATACATAGCACCCCGACCCCTTTGCCAACCTCCCTCCTGCAAAGCAGCCTCTTCAGCGGAGAGGTTATCCCCACCCCCACCCCCGGGAGACAGCAGGTCAGGGCTCTCGGGGCTGTCTGGGGCCTGGCTCTGGGGAGGCCCCGGCCCTGGCTCACTCTATCTCTAACCGTGGGCAGCAAACCACAAAGGATGCTGTGCTCGCCCACAAGGAAGCAAGAGGGGACGGTCCAGTTCACCATCGTAAGCCTAAGCTGCCATAAAAGAGCTGCCCCAGCTTTTTACAATTTGGGTTCATTCTTTCCGATGTTCATGCTCCCGTGCACACCCACACACACCCGCATGCATGCCCACACACACTCGCACGCTTACATTATACACACACACACACATATATATACACACCATTTTTCAGAGAAAGAAGTATTGACATAAGATAGAAGTCCCCTTGAACTCAAGAAAGGTCCCTCCCCACCCTCCCACCGCCCCCATTGCCTGCCAGTCCCCCAAGGAAACAAAAAACCCCATAAAAGAATCTAACAATATCCCCATCGTCCACAGTGCTAGGTTTCCCTCAGTGGCATTTGAATGTCTCCAAATACTGCACAGGGTGGACGGAGCACTCCAGCCAGCGAGGCCCGGGCGTCTCAGCTGGGTCGCAGCGGTGCTGGAAGAGAAGTGGTTGGGTTAGCAATCAGTCAGACCTTTCCCCAGCAGCAAGGCTGGCCGCGGCTGCCACCCGCTTCCCACCCTCCCAGCTGTACTCCGCCGGCCTTCAATTCAGGACCCCCAGGACAAATTCAAGGACCGCTCTTGTGGGCTCAGAGACTTGTCGGTGTTGGCCCCCGCCGCCATGCCGTCCCCTGACCACTGCATCCTATGGGCAAGGAGCCTGCACAGGGCCAAGTGTCTGGACCGAGTGTACTGATTTCAGTCTTTGTCTCTTAGCCGACTTTATCTGTCAGGACAGGGTCTGAAGTCTTGTTAACCTTCATCTGGGCCAAAGCTACAGCCCTCTCTGCTACCAGGTCCTCCAGAGGTCCTGGAATTAGGGAGGGGGCCTGCCAGAGAGTCAGGGCACTAAGACGTCCCCTTCAGCTCAGAAACCCTGCCTGTCCTCACCTCTGGCAAACGCAGATGACTCAATACCAGCGCTGCCTCTGACTGCCCTCTCTAGGTTTGGCCAAGGCTGGTCGTGAATCTGGGAGCCCTGGCGCTGTAGTGGGCTGGGCTGAGTTCCACAAGGGTGGGAAACATGAGGCTTTCTCGTCCCATAGAGAGTTCCCGTCTCGGGAACCCTCCAGGGGCAGTTCTATCCTGTCCTATAGGGGTGCTGTGGTCGGCATCGAGCCCAGGGCAGGGAGTTGGTAGTTGAGTTGGCTGACTATCTAAATGCGGTCCTTGACTTGCCTGCCTCAGGAACACTGGGTGCTTGTTTAGAAAGGCCTACAGCCCACTCCAGAAGCCGGGGTGGAGTAGGGAGTGTGCAGCTTAGAGGTTCTGAGCATGCGGTCCTTCAGTGGACAGCTGGGAACAAGCGTACCCACACTGACACGGGCAAAGACCGGGCAGTATACCGCAACGATTAGAAAGTGAGCTGTGGCCCAGACGGACGTGAGGAGTAATTCTGGGCCTGGGGGGTGGGGTCCACACCAGTCCACGTGGATGGCATTGCCTGGGCTGTGCAGCCTGCAGCCTGAACGGTTAGATGGAGCAGCTCTGTCTAGCCCTCAGGCCCTGGTGGTGCCCCAGGGCACTGTCGGCCTTAGCGTGCTGGGTGGGACAGCCCATCCCCTGTGACCACAGAGCTCACACAGTGCCCCATGCGCGCAGCCCTGTGTATGCCGGGCCGGAGGACAGCACCCACATCCCTGGGTGCGCAGGCCTGGCCCCCTTCTCTGAGACTGGCTGAGAGCACCACCGTGGAGGCACCCCTGCCTTGGGGTGGGCTGATGCCTACCTGCACGCTGAACTTGCTGGGACAGTGTCTCTTAGAATCGGGAGGTGAAGTTTCTCAGGCTGTTGGCCCCGGTCAAGTTGCCCAGCATGTTCCTATCGTAGCCTTGCTGCGGGAGAGAGAAGACAAGGGCGTGAATGATCCCAGCATGAAACAGAGCAGCGCTTCCTGCTGGGCCCGAACTGCCCAGCCTGGGCCTCCTTCACCAGGACGCTCATCTCTGGCAGTGACCGCGCCCTCTGGACAGTCACGATTGTCCTCTGACCGTCAGTCTGAGCAGTGGCGCTGATACAGGGCTGGCCCAGTGTGCCCCCAACGATGTTGATCCAGATGCGTTAACAAGACGTGTCTGGGCACCGTCCACAGGCTGGGATTTCCTACTTCCATTTGCAGCCCCTTAAATCAAGGCTGGGGGGTGGGGGTGGGGTTCAGCTCTTTTGCTCTTAGAACAGGATCATTGCCAAATTCAGGGGAGGGAAGTTGTGAGCTGCTCCACCTTCTGATGGGCCCTGGGAAGAGTTCTGGGCAGGGAAAGGTGTGCCCAGCGTTTCTCAAACACAGGAGCAGGGCTGTGGCATCTGGTGAGAAGCCACCAGATGGTCTGCCATCCAGACTCAGCCCCAGGGGTTCCAGAGCGCTCTGCTGGAGGAGAGAGTGTCTGGTCCCTGCTACATCTCCCAGCATGCAGCAGGTGCTCAAGACATGCTTTGGAGTGGATCTAAGCAGCACAGGGTGAGCGCCAACATACCCAGGAGTCATGAGGAGAGGCCCCTGGTGTCAGCCCTACACTCCGAGGCCTGCTTGTGGGGACGTGAGGGGAGCCAGCCCACGGAGCCGCGGCAGCAACAGGTTCTGTCAGTCTGCCACGTGCCTGCCTGGGATGGCATGCACCACATAATGCTACCCCCTGCCCCCAGGTTTGCTTGCTCCCCTGCTGAGCTGGGAAGTGGGCAGGAGTGAGAAATGCCCCATCCTGCTCCCAGCACCTGCGCTGACTCACAGCATCAGATTCAAGCTCCTCGGCCCGTGGTGCCCTTTGAGCAACACGGACACAAGCCTGTGGGCCCGCCTCCCGGGGGGCTGGTAAGCCGGTGGTTGATGGGTGGGACACAGCACGCGCTGAGGTTGTGGTCCAGCCCTCAGCTACTCGGGGTCTCTGCTTGCACGGGGAACGAGGTGAAGCCTCTGGGCTACCATCAGGGACCATGAGGAGCCCCTAGCCCATCCTCCTCACCCGCCTCAGCCCTACCTGCCCTTCCCAGCCAGCAGCTGTCCCATGTCACGCCCACTCTCATTATGGCGCTGCGGGAAGGGAGCACTGAACTGTCAGACGGAGGACAAGGGTCACTCATTGCAGGGGGGCCGGGGGGTGGTGTTCCTGGTGATTGTGACCACAGAGGTCTCCTGAGCCTGATTGTCGGAGAAGAGCTGGCTCTCCTCCTCTCTCAGGGAGGGTCTCCTGGTCCTGCAGCCTCCTCAGCCCCCAGCTGAGGGTTCCTCTGTGCTCTGCCCTGTCCCTGGAGACTTTCCCACGGTCTTATCCATTTCATGGCTCCCACCATCTGCCCACAGCTCCAGTCAGAAGGCAGCTCCCAAGGCCCCATGCCGTGTCCCTACGGGGTCTCCATCCAATTTGTTCAGAGCACCCCACCACCCCCCTCACATCAGAGCGCCTCTTTCTCCCCTTGGAAAGCTTTCTGGACTTTCCCCCACTGTCTCTGTGTCTGCGAACGAAACTGCAGTGTCCCCAAGCTCACAGCCCAGCACGGCCAGTCCTACTGTTCTGCTTGCTCACCTCTTGTCACTAATGTCCAGCCAGCAGTGGTTACCTGCTGGGCTGCCGACCATAAGGTCAGCACTTCTAAACCACCAGCTGCTCTCGGAGAGAAAGACAGGGCTTGCTACTCCCGTAAAGAGTGAGCCTCAGAAACCCTGTCCCACAGGCCCCCC